TATATATATATATATATATATATATATATATATATATATATATATATATATATATATATATATATATATATATATATATATATATATATATATATATATATTCGCTATTTCTTTGACTAGCACTAATAATTAATTATTATGACTATTTAGGAAGATGGGAACAGACTAGATTAGCAGTCACTTGACGACTATTTTCCGATCCTATTCTCACTTATGTTCTTGCATTGTATTTAGTTTTTGATTCTATTATTGTATTGGTTATAATAAGGAGAATAAACTTATTTATTTATTATTTTGATCTTTATGATGTAGCATCTATTACCACATTTGTGAAATTCTAGAACAGACAGTTTCCAATACACTAACCAAATTTGATTGGCCCAAACATTGTAACCCATGGAATTGCAGAAAGATCCATTTACAAATTTAATCATTGAAGGCGCTAGTCGTATCACAAGCCAGATCCATATCAAATCAAAATTACAGGGAAACGTCGAGTCACTTGCTTACAGCATGTTTGCAACAAAGATGTGATGGGCAAGTCATGTCAAATCAGTGTGAGGCAATCGAAAATGCAGAATTGGGTAAAACCAGTCCAATTGCGGTAGTCCAAGAAAACAAATACATTTGAATTCCACCTCTTCAAATGAGATAAGTACTCGTCCAGGAGATAGCATAGTCATAAAAGGTTTCATTCTTTTTCGCAGCCTCTGTTTTTATACATGTCCTACCAGTCAGTTCATGCTAACTATTTACAAGTCCCTGAGCATTATTCTAATATGTATAATGGAGTAATAGATGACGAGGATCGACGTATAGTGGCAGGAATGGTTACTTGTATGGATGAAGGTATAGGAAACATTACACAGACATTGAAAGAAACAGAACTCTGGAATAACACAATTATTATTTTCTCATCAGGTAAGTTTTCTACTATTGAGCATGACTCGAATAAACTGTATAGCAAAACAATTAATTTAACGGCATCATCTTTAAAGTTTAACTCATACATGTGAAACAGAATAAACACACAAGATATGCAAAATACTCCTGTTTTGGCTAAAAGTATGATAAATTATAAGTTAATAGCCCGCTCTCACTTGTTCAACACAATTCATTTTGAAAGTATTGGGAGCTCTTATTCATTAGAAAACAAGCTTACAAGAGAGTTAGCTGATTATTTTGGTCGTATAATAAGGAAGCCAATGTTTATAGCACATATACAATTTAATGCAGAAGAAATAATATTGGAGTCTCAGTCTCACGATGTTATTGTAAAACAAATAAATAAAATATCAACATGTAACTGTTTAGCACTTTTTGTTTGGACTTTAAAGCTTGAACCCAGTAACGCTAACCTAATGCTATTTTCAGTGCACTCGCCGAAATAGATTAATTTAGATAACTTAAAAGCAAAATGCTCGATACTATACATAAATCCTAATAACTATAACAATATTCCGCCAACATAATAATTATAGGCGGGTTTAGGGAAAATTTATTCATATGCGTCTCATTTTCGACTAATTGTTGGTGAAAATTGTTGACAATAAGGAAATAGTTGAAAAAATGGGATAATATGAATGGGATGATATGAAAACATTGTACACCACCTACGCACAAATAACGGTCAATAGGATAGATAGTGTCAGACCGTTAGTATAACATCGAAGAAAAATTAGATTTCGCATAAGACTACGAAGAAAATTGGAAATTGGATCAGGGGAAGGAAGTGGCAATGTTAATGTTAAAGTAATTTATTCACACGGGTAGTGTCCTAATACTTTATGCTCACTTCCTCCAATATGATCAGTAGAAGTAGTGACATGACATACTAAACTTTAGATTCTTGTACTAAAGTCTTATAGAGAAATTGAAAATTACAAGAACACAGACAACATGACTAACAATAAATGACAAAAACAATCCATAAGAACTAAACACAGCAATTGACGAGTACACTACATAGTCAAATAAGTAACTTATAGAGCGCCAACAACGCACATCCGAATGCCGTTCAATCACCGTTTAAAAACTGACTAAATGCTATCTTAAAGACCAATGGTCTTCGTGCGGCGCGTGTTCGAATTTCGTGTAAACAAAGTATTTAACATGCGTTGTATTTGTATCCCGCGGTGACTACCATCCTTTAATGCATATAACGTTTCTACTTATAACATTTCCATAAGCTACAGGAGAAGAGCAATATTTTCGAAATGTCTAGCTAATTTGAATAGTTAATTAAGACAACGATTACCAAACAGTCCATCCTAACTGTTGAGCTACTGCAAAAAAAAATCGTTAGAAGCGAGGCTAATTTGCATAAAACAGTTTTAAATAACTGTTCAGAGAAAAACTCTATTGTAAATATTTTGCTTCGAATAAAATGTATTAACTCAAATTGCATAGAGGTATGTTATTTTCTGAAATAATATTCGCTATCCGATTCATATACGCCCAAGCCTAGCTTGACTTCTAATATATTTTACATTAAAAATGTGGCAAATTATTGCGAATGCAATTTTGTAACTTAGCTTGGTAAAATATTAGGAATTGTGGTCGTTTTGGTGAATCCGATGCTCAAAAGAAGCGAAGCAATGAACAACACATATTCAATAATAATGATAATCTTTGATTGTACTGCATTTCAGTTCTAATCCGATGCAAAACTTTTTTTTTATTTCCAAATGGAGCGAAAGGGCCACGTATTATATTCCCTTTTCTAATTGCGTTTTTTTATTTACCTGAAATGCAAAAGCGAGGTATCGTCAAAGGTAAACCTGAATAACGTGTTATTTTTGTTCATAGACAAAACAAGTGATTTTGGGTGCGACAAAGACACAAACCCGTGTAATACAAACATTATTTTGTAAAACAAGAACGATGCTAGGGGTGATATCGCTATAACAGCTTCATGAGATGTTTTTTTTCTCTTTAGTTCAAATGAGTGTAGCAACATTTCTAATGTATTACATATTCTGTCCCAGCCCTAATTTCACGTGTTCATCAATATGTTTGATATAAAAAATGTTAAAAAATTCAAAATATCGGGGTGTCAGCTTGTTTTCTAATGACAAACTAACACTATATCGTGTTATATATATATATTTTCTTGTTAGATAATGGCGGAGACCCGAATGACGGTGGCAATAATTGGCCGTTGCGTGGTGAAAAGGGAACACACTGGGAAGGAGCCATCCATGGTCTTGGATTCGTTTATAGTTCTGATATTGCAAAAGATGTGAGGGGGACAGTGAATACAGAAATGATTCATGTCAGTGACTGGTTTCCCACAATAGTAAACTTAGCCGGAGGCAGTTTGAATGGAACGAAGCCATTAGATGGTTTTGACCAATGGCAAACAATCAGGTGAACAAAGTCAATGTACTTACTGGTCACATTTCGTGTCGTGTCGGACTGTGGTATCTGATTCTGTATCTGTCAGATTGATTAGTTGAGCAGACACCAACAATATATCTGCTGCATCTGGTATGCTAACTGTCACACGCAACGTAATATTACCGTAATTGGTATAGTACTGGTGTGATGGTTCAAATACCAAAATGGCAACAGTAACATAAAGACTTCCCTGGCGGCGATGATAACATACGGACACGGAGCCAACAGATGAGGTTTCAACTGGTACTGGTATAATTATACTCTGCAGACATTAAGTACAATAACGCGGTAAAACTCCACTACTCCAATAACTAGATACTTAAACTCCAACACAATTCAACGAGATCTCCGATCTGATCTCAGTGCTGAAAAACTCCCCTATATATACCCACACTGTCTATAAATAGACCATTACATCAGCATACATAATGAGTCTGGAATTTACTATAAATTTCTAGAATGTTCCATTACCTTCTATTGCCTCCTACAGTGTTCTATTACCTATTCAACCAGTTTCTAAAAAAAAAATAGAATATTCCACCCAGACACAGTACAGTTCTAGAACATTCTCAGTGACACAGAAGTGGTAAATAAGTCGTATGCGACACTAACCCACTTTGTAAATTATATTTTTCCTTTTAAAGTCAAGGAGCAGAATCTCCAAGAACTGAAATTCTCATCAATATCGACCCACTGGTACCCCCACCGTCAGATATGGAACATTTTTTTCATGGTTGGAATGGAACCTACAACACCTCAATGTGTGGCGCTATTCGTGTGGGGGATTGGAAATTAATAACGGGATATCCAGGTAATAAGACAGGCAGCCAGAAATTACCAGTAAACACAGTATATATATAGTGGCACGCCATGACACTATGTGCAGGGCGGGAACATACATGCCATTTACTGCATTTTTTATTTGATTACAAAAATGATGATATAGACAACGGTAACAACAATAATATTATTTAATTGTTTCAGGTGAGGGGTCATGGACACCACCTCCTGAATCCGGACATCAGCCAATTATACCTAATGATAAACCAGGAAAACACGTATGGTTATTTAACATCGCTGAAGACCCAACTGAGACAACAGATTTGAGTGAAGATAATTTAGATAAAGTAATTGAATTACTGATCAAAATGGACGAATATTTGTTAACCTCTGTTCCAGTTGTATATCCTCCTAACGACCCCCTTGCTGACCCATCTCTGAATGATGGTATATGGCGTCCATGGTCGCCTGAACCATACACTTATCCAGGCAACCCAAATAACCCAAACAATCCAAACATAAAAGACAACGTATTTTAATGTGTTACGTATGTAGTTGGCATTCAAAAGAGTAGACCTGTAATACAAAGACAATAAACTGTGATTTGAACAGAACTAATTCGTATCTAAATAGCAGTATATGCAGCCTTGCTTATACATACACCATATATGTATGCCCAGACATAGCTGCTTTATTTTCTTGTTAATGCAAATTTGCCGGTAACCCAGCATCAAATTCTGACGTGTGAATATGAGCCTTCTCCAACATATTATTGTTTTGAGAATAAGACTGGTGCATTGATAACAATACAATGTGGTTATATTTTATTATTATACACCTGTCACTGTAACGCCACGAGTTACAGTGTGCCGTAATTTTGCAGTATTTGCGGGGTATTTCATCCTATCATATAAGGAAATGCGAATTCCAAATATAAAGTGATTTTGCGCGTAAGCGTCCTCTAATAATAAAAACAAACATGGCTGCCACCAGGGTATGACCGGACTCCATACAAAGAAGTTCGCTGATTCTGTTCTAAACCTTATAGATTTCTGCATTCCCATGATGTATCTTTGGTGGGAAAAGATGTATAATAGTAAGGTTATTACGAAGATACCTCAAGATACCTTATTTATTTATTTATTTATTGCAAAAATAAAATAATAATAATAATAATAACTTTATTGCATCCTTAGAAATACAATGTTTCTATCAGTTAATAGCAATAAAGATTAGTTGTGATAACTACTACAAAAAGAAAGTTAGTTGTTAATAGGATAAAGCAAGTGTTACATATCAAAAGGCATTTTCATTCCTTGATTGAAATGCGTTATGAATATAATTGCCAATCTTTTTTATTATTACATCATCTTTTGAAGTCATCAAGAACTTAAATTTCTGGAGATCATCCTGTGTTTCTTCTGGAAATGTAATGTCTTGAATGATTTGTTGGCGTATTACTTTATATTGTGGACATATCATGACAAAGTGCAGTTCATCTTCTATTTTATTCTGTGTACATTGTTTGCAAATTCTATTTTCAGTAGGTATTTTTGGTTGCATATGCCTCCCTTTTTCTATTGCTAGATTGTGATTACTAGTTCGAAATTTTGTCATTGAAATTCTTTGCTTCAAATTCAAAATTATAAGAGTCTTTGAATTGTTCATAAGTTCTCAGACTTACTTACCAAGAGCAAAGCCACTCTTGGCATGGTCTACGCAATCTCTGTGAAGTCTGTGAAGATAGTGGCAACTGCTGTAAAGAGTTTGGTAATTTCTTTGATTTTCATTATGTCGTCTTTCCCCAAATAATCCATCTGTCGTACAAGAGCTAGTACATAGAATGCTAAAATAGAATGCCTTTGGTGAATAAAATCATCGGGATAAGCTTTAACTTCTTCTACTTTAGGAAAAATGTTTTTCATATCCAGAGGATTATTCATGGCCCGGAGTTTGCTGCTAGGACATACACGTTTGCTAAATACAACCTGTTGCAAGAGGTGATGTAGCGTGAATGCTCCCATCTGATCACACCTTGTTTCAGGCTATATAAAAAAGACAGTTGTTTGGTTTAAAAACCTCGCATTGACTGCATTGTAACATGAATTACGGGAGCCATGAGCTTTCACAAATTTTTCAGCACAAAGATAAGATAAATCCCAGGTTGATTGCATGTTTCTTCTGCTAAAGTCGGACAATCGTGTCAAATCATCACCTGTCATGTTTATCGGGTCACGAGTAAGGGTTTCTTGAGGAAGCTATTTAAGTTTGTGGTGCAAGCGATCGAGCTCACGCTTTCATTGAATTGGATTTGATTTGCATTAATAAGAGCAATGCCAATCCGGCCAATTGGGTGTTTGTCATTTGCGTTGGGCATACCTGACCTGACCCTAACCCTAATGCCAAGACACGTTCCTGTTAATAATTGTAGCTCAATAATGATACTCTGTTGTGCACTGTCTGTGGGTAAGTTGCATTGATGTCAACTGATTAAACAAGTCATGTTTAATTAATTTCCACCATTAACAAGTGGTTACAATGTGACAATAAATGTGTGGACAAATATTTGAGACTTATTTTGGTGTAGACAACTCTCGTTTAATTAACTTCCACCATTACAAGTTGTTAAATTGTGAAAATAAATGTGCAGACAAATCTTTGAAACTTATTTTGGTGTAAACAACTCACGTTTGACTAATTCCCACAATTGCAAGAGAATAAATGTGTGGACAAATATTGCCCATAAATTTGTGAGTAAATACCTGTCGTTTAATTAATTTTCACCTCTACAAGGTTGTTAAATTGAGAGAATAAACGTGTCGATAAATATTTGACACTTATTTAGGCGTAAGAACTCATGTTTGATCAACTTCCACCATTGCAAATTGTTAAAATAATGAAAACAATATACTGCATATTTGGATATTTGATTTAATTGTGAAACTTTCTCAGAAAATGTTAACTGCTGATTTTGAATCCTCAATCAACACTTCCGCAGACACCGTATAAATACCACAACACCACAGAAGATATTCGTCTGTTGTCTAAAATTGTTTTCGTAATATACGGAATGCCATCGACACTTTATCAAAACTTATCTTGTCTTGGGTCTTCTGTTTATCTCTTGTGACGAACTGGAAACTGTTGAACAAATTACACATCGTCCAGTTTAAGACGCAAGTTATTTTATTATATATTCATTCAGTTTTGCATGGTGGGGTTTCGTGAGGTTTATTATTTGTTCGTGACGTTCTTTGTTTATTTGTCATGGTTTGAGGGATTTCAGTTTATTTGATTTACGTTATTGTGGTAGCTCTGAGTGGGACTTGAACCCACTGCCATTTCAAGCTAATTTTGTTTTATCTCGATGGCACGCTTATGTACCAGGCCACAACGTTGGTCATTGAGTGTTGTCATTTTGCTAACTACTTCAATGTTCCAATGAGTTGAATGGGAAAGCCAAAACAATTGCTGGTTTCCGATCCCGATGAGTGTGTATCTAGTAGGATTCAAACCCATGGCGTTTGTATTGCGTGGTTTTTCATTTCCCATGTTTGCTACACCGTAATATTTATTGTGATTTTGTGAGTGTTTAATGATGTCTTCCTCACCTGTCACGCCATGACCGAGTTTCAACCACACGGCCATTTTGCAATGAAGTGCGTGACCCCACTGACTATATGATCGTTCTGTTCAACTGTTAGGCTACGATTTATTACCGTTATTATAATTATATTGTCACGTGATTTGTTCCACCTTATGTGTTATGTCTTAAGGTAGAGATGCAGTTTACCTGACAGGTATTTTAATTAGTTAATTAGGAAACCAAGATGGCCTCTCTTGTCCACAAAACTATATATTTTCGGAAAGCTTATTGTATGAATTTTAAAATTGTATTAGTATTTTTTATTTATGGACACTGTAGTTTGAAATATGCACAAAAAATTAGCTCCTAAACCATGCTTGTTTCCTGTCAAAATTGGTTTATGGGTACATCTGTTTACTATGAAGAAAGTGCCGTCTTGAAAACTGTCTACCAGTTGTCAATTTTGCAGGGCAGCAGCCCAAATTTCACTACTTCAAGTTTATGCATAAATTAACACCCAGGCTAGCTGTCTGTACGATTGTTGTAACACTGTTCAACCAAAAGCAATGCCCGACAGCGTTTTGAAGATAAACACATTGTCAATCATTTGTGAAAATTTCATAACAAAAGGTCAAAGCGTCTAGGAGCTATTTTTTTTTTAAGTTCTGGGATGTCCACTAAAAAGGAGCTGAGATAATTGCTAATTTGCATAACAATTCACTCAGTAAGAAGTTTGGTAATGCTCATAATTAAAATGGCTGTAACAGATCCAAATTTAAATGTATTAAATGTTTTGTTAAAAGTTAAATATAGTGCATAATATGGAGATCCCGTCATTTCTTTTTTCCACCATGTTTCTTTTTTATTATTTATGTACAGCCTTGCTAAATCTTGCTAAGCATTCAAAAGAGAGAATGTTTGCACCCATTATCTATATTTTAAAATAGTTTTTTTGAGTATGTTCCACTATTCACAATTGTACAAAATTTTAACAGTCTATAGCCAAGACTGTTTGGATAATAAAAAACAAAAATGTCACTCCCAAGTGCCCCAAACCTGCATTTCTACCTTAAAGAAGAGCAGAGGTGTGGCTTTTGATACTCTGTACATGAAATTTGAGATCTATGAATGAATTCTGTCGATAAAAACAATTTGTATATGCAGCGAAATGCCCTAAATATCGGGTATAAAACGGACTGTGAAGCAGACGACAAACTTCCGCTTTTCCTGGCGTCATTTCGCCTCTAGAGGGCCAGTCAGATGATGTCATCAGTGAACACTGATAATTGAACCCATTCATGCTAGTACGTCAATCCCATAGAAATGCTACTATGAAAGACCTTGTTAACTGACTACTTAAAAGTTGAAACATGGCGAAATGTTGTGCGTATGAATGCCATAACGATTCATGTTATGTTTCTCGAAATCCCAGAAAAAAAATCACGTTGTTGGTTGCGAGAAATCGGCAGAAGAACTAACCTGAAAGTACAGCGTACAGCGCTCTAGCTATAGTAAACAGTGAGTAAATAAATATTGTTTGAGTTAAAAACTAAATTAGAAATACGCTAATATCACTTGAACTACAGTACTCATTTCGCCCAACTTCCCACTTTAAATCGACCGCTTATCGCTTAATTTCCGACCGCACTGTATTTTCCGACCGGAAAACGACCGCATTTTATTGTAATTTTTCTCTCACTGACTCATTGAAAACACCGACCGGTCGCCCAAACACTGGTCACTTGCACAGGAGTGATCGAAATAGTGGTTTTGAGTGATATAATTTGGGGATACAACGGGCACTAACAATTATTAAATTCCAAACTACTCTTCAAATCTATACCACATTGTATCGTTCGCGGACGAAACTTCATTTGTGTCCAATATTAAATAACTGACTTTGCGTAATTATTACAATGTTGAAATTTTTAGAGCCGGTACAACATTGTAAAC